CAAAACACTTTTCTTTATTCTGGTGGTTTCTAAAAAAGCTCTCCACTGTTGAGCACGGTGGCACACATCTGTATTACCAGCAATCGGGAGGCTGAGGCAGGAGGATCACTGCAAGTTTGAGGCCAACCTGGGCTACACAGTGAGTTCAAGACCAGCCTGAACTGCATAGTAATACCTTGTCTCAAAAAAATCAATCAATCAATCAATCAATCAATCAATCTTCTGAAATCATTTTTTTTTTTTTGGCGGAACCGGGGATTGAACTCAGGCCCTTGTGCTTGCCAGGGAAGCGCTTATTCCACTGAGCCATCTCCCCAGTCCCCTCCCCTGAGCCATCTCCCCAGTCCCCTAATCAATTAATCTTCTAAAGCTCTCCAGCTTCTACTTCTACTAAACAAACATTTCTTCCAGAAGATTTAAAGGGAAAAATATGAACCCTAGGTATCCATTTTCATGGAGTGAAAACTGAAGTGTCATACCAGGTATTGAGAATAAAACGAGATTTTAGAGCAAGCAAAGAAGCAACACAAACTATGCTCTTTCCGCCCTCAGCACCCACTTTTTTTTTTTTTTTTTTTTGAAGGGTCTACAGGATGTTCAGAGTCTCACTACTAGAGCAGACTTTTTTTGGTGGAACTGGGGATTGAACTTAGGCCCTCACATTTGCCAGGGAAGCGCTTATTCCACCGAGCCATCTCCCCAGCCCCCACAGCACCCACTTTCTAACACCATTTCCAACCTACTTTTCTTGAAGATTAGCTGTCTTAAAAATGGCATTAAGCTGGGCGTGGTGGCGCACACTGCAGCCCCACTGCTCAGGAAGCTGAGCCAGGGTTATGAGGTGAGCTCAAGGCCAGCCTAAACTGCATGGCAAGACCCCACCTCAAAAAGACAAAAACTAAAAATTACAATATTAAAAATAATTTGCAAGAAACAACTAAATAGTCATTGTACTTTTAGATCACACCTGCCTGGCCGCAGGTGCTTGGTCTCTGGTGTATGTGGTACCAGAACACGCCAGGGTAAGCAAGGCTCACCCTCACCCTGTGAGGCTCAGACGCTAACCTCAGCCTTTCAGTAAGTTACATTTTCCCCAAATGATTAATCACTCAACCACTGGACGATCAGGATTCAGAGCTGCTAAGGGAGGATTTTCTCAACTGTGTCAGTTACATAAAGGTGTCATTTGTCCCAATATGTAAGATTTCATATTCTACCCAAAGTAATGCAGATAGTCGACCTTTGTTTACAGACTGGAGAAAATACATCAGTGTACATGAGCCCCCTGTGCTCACACTGGCTTTTCTCCACATCACCTGCTCCTTATCTCTTACCCGCCCCCTGCCGGCTCCTTCTTTTTCAGTTCTTTTCTTTGAGACCTTGGTGCCTGCCGGTGTTCGGCTCACCCAGCCTCTCTCCTCAGGTCTCTGCAGTGCTGCTTTACACCGGCAGCCACCCCAGGGCTTCAGACTCCGCCTCCCTGCTCCCTGTGTCCAGAGCCCGAGGGACCACAGTGGCACAGGGCTGGTCCCACGCTGGTGCTCACCTGCTCGCCGCCTGGCTGTGCGGATTCTCACTCTCCGGGTGGTGGCCTCTGCTCTTCGCTCCCGTCTAGTTTCGCTGACTCAAGCCGACGTCACCAGGCACAGTCACCTTTGTGCTAATATGTAACTGGAGTTCGGCTACCTCACGCCCCTCTTGGTCCCTCACTCCACCCTTCTCCACCTTACCCCAGAGTAGGACTGTCTGGTTCATCTACTTTATGGTTAGATAAGTTCCAACTAACAGAATTACTGCTTACAGGCCAGAAGTTGCTCAAGAACCGGTTCCTGTGTTGTTTTATGTTAGTCAAATAGCAGAAACTTTAAAAGAACTGGTCAGTAGTTTCCATCAGGGACATAGAATTGGTGTTTTTTTTTCTTTTTCTTTTTTTAAAAAAATAGTGCTGGGGATTAAACCTGGGACTGTGCACTTGTGCTAGGGATTAGACCTGGGACCTTGCACTTGTGCTGGGGATTAAACCTGGGACCGTGCACTTGCCAGGCAGGCACTTGCTCTACTGAGTTAGCATTCTGGCCCTGTCTGCTCTCTGAGACAGGGTCTCCCTATATACTCCAGGCTGGCCTTGAGCACACAGTGATCCTCTTGCCTTAGCCTCAGGGGTGACAAAGGGCTTAGGCCCTGGACAGACTGACAAGTAAACATGGACGCCAACTGGTTAATTTAAGTCCTGCTCAGGGCTTCATGGTGGTCTCCATCACATACTCTTACGTGAAATAAATCAGACATACATATTGCATGGTGTCTCTGGAGTAAGAAAGCAAAAATGTGCATAAGGACCAAAATGCATGCTAGATCCTGGGACATGAGAAGACAATGTTCAGATGAGAAGGAGAACAAGGGACAGGGCAGGAGAAAAGAAAGAAGGGGCACCAAAAAAAAGAACCAGGCATGGTGGAGCATGCCTGTGATTCCAGCACTTGGGAGGCTGAGGCAGGAGGATCACTGTGAATTTGGAACCAGCCTGGGTTACAAAGTGAGCTCAAAGCCAGCCTGGGCCAGGGAGATGGCTCAGTAGAATAAGTGCTTGCCTGGCAAGTGCAAGGCCTTGAGTTCAATCCCCAGTACTGGGGGGTGGGGGGCAGCTGGGACTGCATAGTGAGACCCTGTCTCAAAAAGATCAGACAGTGGGGCTGGGGAGATGGCCCAGTGGAATAAGCACTTCCCTGGCAAGCGCAAGGGCCTGAGTTCAATCCCCGGTTCCACAAACAAACAAACAAACAAACAACCCAGACAGAGACAGAAGAAAAACCAGAAAGAATGCTTTTGTAATTAAAGAGAAGAGGGTGAATGGAGAAAAAAAGAAGCAAGACAGATCACACACACCTGCAACCCCAGCACTTGGGAGGCTGAGGCAGGAGTTCAAGGCCAGCCTGCGCCGCATAGTGAGACTCTGTCTCAAAAGGAAGCTCCCTCCCCAAGATACATCATGCACAGGTACAAACCCTCTATGCATATATCTAAAATGTATCAGGCCCGGTGAGACAGCTCAGCAGTCTAAAGCACCTGCTTAGGCAAGTTGAGGCAAGTGTGCAGGGATCACAGTTCAATCCCATGCACCACATGCGTGCCAGCCCCGCCCCAAAGGTGGGCTGAGCTGGCCTGCAAAAAAAGGAAGACACACAGGAAGGGGATTCATGACAATGTGTTCTTCATTACCATAAAATGTATCAATTAAAAAAATTTCAAATCCACAGTCTCCTCTAAGACTCAAGGCAAAATCTTACCTGTAAAATTCATAAAATCAAGTGGTACTTCCAAAATGTAGTGGGTTAGCATTTCTACTCCAAAAATGGAAACAGGGAGGCTACAAAGGAATTGGAACAAAGCAAACTCAAAATCCAGCAGGACAACGTTAGGCCCTCAGCTCCGTGTCTGGGCCCAGGTGTGGAGTGGGAGACATGAGCCGGCCAGGGGGCCCCGCCCCGCCCGCCCGCCCGCCCACCTTGCTGCAGGCTGGCTTTCTCTGCTGGCTGCAGCTGTCCTCGGCAGGTGGCGCGCCTGCCTTCCTGGCACCTGCAGTGTCCCGGGGTCTCCACTGCAGCCTTTGCCTCACCTCCACATCTTCACAAATCTCCCTGACTCATAGCTCCCAGCAGGAACTCCCAACCCGCTTCACTTCCTAGGCCTTCCTTTGAAACATGGGTGCCCATTTCAAACATTTTAAGTGTACAGTTATGTAGCATTAATTATATCTACAGTGGTATAAAACTGGGCTGGAGGGATGGCTCAGTGCTCTAAAGCACCTACTTGGAACAAGCTTGGCAAAGCACAGGGACTGCGGTTCGATCCCCCAGCACCACATGCCAGCCAGCCCCGCCCCCTGGTGGGCTGAGCTGGCCCCCCACACACAATAAATAAATGTTAAAAAAAAAAGAAAACCATTATAAACATGGCTCATTGATGCCTTATTTCTGTAAACAACAAAACCTGAGAAATATATTAAATATATTAAAAATAAAAAATAAAAAATAAAAAACATCACTGCTATATATTTTCAAAATATTTTCACCAGCCCAAACAGAAACTGTCAAGCAATAACTCCTCATCCCTCCCTCCCCGACCCCTGGTGGGCATCTATTTCTATGAAGTCATCTATGCTAGATATTTGATGTAAGTGGAATCATATGTGGTCTTTTATGGCACTTAGTGTTGTATTCCAGGTTTACAAGGGAAAAGACCCCAGGACACATAATTTATAGGACTATTTACACTATTCACTCAAAAAGTCAAATGCAGCTGGGTGTGGGGACACATGCCTGTAATCCCTGCACTCCAGAGACCGAGGCAGGAGGATCGTTGTGACTTCAAGACCAGCGTGGCTTCCCTGGCAAGCGCAAGGGCCTGAGTTCAATCCCTGGTTCCGAAAAAAAAAAAAAGACCAGCCTGGGCTACAAAGTGAGCTCAAGGCCACTGTGGGGGAAAAAAAAAAACACAAAGAATGTACTTAGAATGTCAGAAGATGAGCTTGCAAAGCTGATTTTCAGGGTATTTGATCTCCGGGCTAGAGTCACCTTAAATAATGCATTGTTCTACTACTGTTCTGATCTCTGAATCCAATCTGGAGGGTGCGTTCAGACTTGGCCCAAGCCCTTGGCCAAAGAGTTTCTTCTAGGGCTGGGGAGATGGCTCAGTAGACTAAGTGCTTGCCTGGCAAGCGCAAGGGTCTGAGTTCAATGCCTGGTTCTGCCAAAAAACAAAACAAAACAAAGAGTTTCTTCCTCTCACGTTTGATTTATTATTGTTATTGTTATTATTATTTATTTATTATTATTATTTTGTCTTTTCGAGACAGGGTCTTACTATGCAGTTGAGGTTGGCCTTGAACTCCTTGCATGGTGCTTGGTGGGCAGGTGTTTACGCTGCTGTATATCCTTGGCTTTCTCTTACTAGCGTATTTATTTATTTATTTATTAATACAGGGTCTACAGGGTGTCACTACACAGATCGGACTCATAGTGATCCTGTTTTCAGCCTCCCAAGTGCTGGGATTACAGGTGAGCACCACCATGCCCAGTCTCAATTGCCGTCTCAGTGCACCCCAGGGGCAGGGCCGGCAGGGCTTGCTGGGGATTGAACCCCGGCCGCTGCGCTCTGCCTAAGCAGGTGCTTTAGTCTGCTGAGCTATCAGGCTGGCCCTAAGTTCTTTACATTATTGTTAGTAGTCCTTTGAGGAACAGCTGGAAAATGTTTTTTCTCACATTGCAGGTTGTCTCTTTTCCCCATTGGTGGTTTGTTTTGCTGTTCAAAAGCTTTCTAATAAGATGAGATCCTTGGGTGGTGAGATAGCTCAGTGGTCTAAAGCACCTACTTAGAACAAGCTTAGCAAAGCACAGGGACCGCAGTTCAATCCCCCAGCACC